CATATAATGATAAAATACCATCATATAAAGATAAAATACCATCATATAATGACAAAATACCAGCATATAATGACAAAATACCATCATATAAAGATAAAATACCATCATATAATGACAAAATACCATCATATAATGATAAAATACCATCATATAAAGATAAAATACCATCATATAATGACAAAATACCATCATATAATGACAAAATACCATCATATAATGACAAAATACCATCATATAATGATAAAATACCATCATATAATGACAAAATACCATTATATAATGATAAAATACCATCATATAATGACAAAATACCATCATATAAAGATAAAATACCATCATATAAAGATAAGATACCATCATACAATGACAAAATACCAGCATATAATGAAAGTTCTCCACATAAGGCAGTTACGGCGTTCCATATATAACCTAATAATTCATTTATATTAAACATGAAGTTTATAACTTGTGATATTTTTCATTTAACAATGTCGTAAATGAAAAAAAAAACTATTCCCACTATGAGCATTGATACAACATATACGAGGGCCGTTCAAAAATAACGCGGACTTGTTGCACAGAAAAAATATCTGGCGACATAATCGGGCAAAATTTCACACATAATATAAAAGAATCTTTATTTATATGGTCTTCAAAATTTCGTATCAAAATGTTGTAAATTGGTATCAATTTTGAGTGATTTTTCAGGACATATCATTGAGTCACGGAGCAGCAAAATCTTCGACGTCACAGGCATTATAAAAAAAAATATGTGATTGAGCTTTCATTTTCTCAACATTTTCCCAAGAGTATCTGTACAGTTTGAGTTACCTTATCTGTTTAACATCCAAACACTATTTCTTGTCAAGCTTAAAATCTATTAAGTCAAGAATATTCTTTTTTTGTTTTAAAACCAAAAAAATGCAGGTATTTGTGAGATATAGTGTGGTACTGGTGACTCTCAATCACGTTCTTTACAGTCCGGATAAATTTTTCGTCGATAATCTTCTTCCCGTCCTCCCGTATAGCCTTTTTTACAGAGGTCTAACGGTCTAAAATTTCAATTTGCTATTTGTGGACGAATGTCACGAATACCCTAGTTTACTTCAAGTTTCGTTATAAATATTTTGGATCTATGTTGGCGATATCTCGAGCATTACACATAATTTAACAAAAGTGTGGTGCGCCGTCAATTCGGGAAACGTCATTTTCACGGTCGTTTTCACGGGAATCACATCAGAGAAAAATCACTATATTTCTGCTAGTACTTCAAATATCACGTCAGAAATCTAAATACATAATAATAGAACAATTTAAAGATATATTTGAGAAAATTGTCGAAAAATATCGCGAATTATAGAAAACTAATGAGTTTAATTTTGGATTCCGCATGATTTTGCTTCAATTTTTTGTCGTGCTCCGTACCTCTCCTTCAGCGATATCAATATACCGATAATTTTAGTAGAATTTTTTTAAAATACAGAAATTTTGCCCAAAATTTATTGGAATCTTTAAGATACATATTTCTGTGAAATTTCATAACTATATGACGTCTGTGAGAGTAAATAATAGCACAGTCCGCGTAATTTTTGAACGGCCCTCGTAAGAAGCTTCTTCATCAGCTTATAAATTAACAAATAATCAAGTCAACAAAGAACAATAAAGTTAAAGAAAATGAAATCAAATCAAATGATTTTATTTTAAATATGAAAAATCGATTTCTATTCTATAAAGTTTTATAGATGTCATTAAAATTAATGGTCTTTTTGTTTAGATATGAATGCAGTACAAGTTAGCCGTGTTGGAGAATATGCCAACGTTGTCAAAATTTTTTTTCTTGATACATTGTGTAATAAGAATGAAAATATTAGACCCCAGTACTTCTACGATATATTTGTTTTCAAGGTCATTTAAACAAAACCAAAAACTACACCTGTCACGTTGTAAAATTTATAAAGATTCTTCTATACATAAAAAGAAACAAAACATTAAAAGGACCCTCTTTACATCGAAGATGTTACAACGAATACTAGGTAAAGAACAAAGACAAAAACAACTCATGGCTCATTTGAAGTTTAACAATTATTTAAACTTCAAAAGGTTTTAAGGTTAAAATAAGAAAAGACAATATTGATGGATTCTTTAACTGATAGCATCTTCAAATGAACTATTTCAATAGATTACAGAGGTGACTGTCACGTAGGCTAATGTATTTTTCAATATAGAAGACACATAAAGAGTGGAAATGTTTGTAAATAAAAACAATCATGGAAAATCAAAAATAATCTTTTCAATATAGCCTCTGTGTTATGTTTAACATTTCTCAAAAGCACAGCCGTTGTGAACTAGATATACATGTATTACAGCGAACGAAAAAAATATATATACTTGCTAGTAATTTCATAAAAAATAATAAAACAAATCATAACAAATTACTCGCTTTTAATAAAATTCTTCATAAAGCTTTTCGATGACAACCTTTATTCAACAGGACTATAAGGCTGTGAAAATTTAACTTAATGTTTTGATCGAAATAAAACTAATTTTGCAAATGATAAATGGAAAAGTAAGGATTTATATCATTCTTACATTCTATAGTGAGATTCATAGAACAATAAAATTATGTAATTATTCAATGTTTAAATCTATATCAGTGATGTTAAACTAACAAATATTTTAAATGAAAAATGAAGCTATTAATATAAATAAATTCGGTTAAACAAAAAAAAATATTTTATGTCTTCGACGATCAGTTTGATTAAAAAAAAAGAAAATATAAGCTGACGGGTTCAGACTCATTCGACATTACAGTCAAAGCAAACGCATTTAAGGTTCATTGATACTCTGATAAGAAGGATAACTCTTAATGTCATAAAGGTCTATTATCCCTTTATACATTTCCCAAGGTGAAGTGTCTTTTTTGTCTAATTTAGCCCCGCAAGCTTTGCTAAAGTTGTTTTTATTTTACTTATAAAATACATTTCTTTTGGAAAATCATTAAGGTTCAAGCAACATTTTATATGAGTGAGCAGAGGGTTTTTTAAACCTTAAGGTTAGATATTAAGGTATATCACTCGTGAAATTTGTTAAATCAAGGATTTATTGAGAAGTATATTTTGGAGAAGTACTCATATAGAGTGACTCAAAATCGCAGAGAAAATAGGTGGTCAGTGTTCATCTTACTGATCTACGGTACAATGAAGTTGACCTTTTTACACTTAAAATTTAACTATTTGGTTAATTACCGAAACCTTAATTATATTTTATCAGACGTAATCATGGCAAAAAATATTATCTTATTTTACGTAAAATATTTAGAATAATATTTATCATTGAAAAAATCTTGCAAACTAATGCGCGTGAATTATTGTGTGACCTTTTTGCACTAAAAAGTAACATATTTTGGGGTATTAAAAACTAAATAGGCAATAAAACATTTTCTTAAATCAAGCTTTTTACGACTTATGTGCTGATCAGTCACAAGTATCGGGTACTTTAAAATAATGAAAGAAAAAGTTGGGGTCAGTGATGTTGATTTTGAAATATTGGTCAAAATATGTGATTTTCAGGCAAAAAATGGTGTAAATTTTATATTGATTTATTTGACATATCTTCATTTTTTGGCAAAGTTTGTTGAAGGAAGGTGTAAAACTTGTTCTAAAAATATAAATTAAGATCTATATTAAATATTCCTAGCAATATCACAATGGAAAATATTCTTCGAGTAAAAGTGTGTGAGGTTAAAGTTCCAAGATATTGAATTTAATAAATGTGCAGATTTGCAGAATTATCTGCTAAAATCCTTCCACCACAAAAAATAGTCCCTCACAAATCTTTGTAGCTTTTTGAGCAGTTTTTTCGTGAATGTTAAAACATTAACATTGCTGAAATTAAATATGTTATAAAACTTGAATTTTGATAAATAGTTTTGAAGTAAGAGGTTCTGCGTGAACTTTTCCAAAAAGTTGATGAGTGACCTACCTTCAGAACATTTCCCTTACAGCGATTGACAATTTGTCTCATAGATTAATAATTAAGGAATGGAATGCAAGTATGTGTGATTCACACTCCAATAATTCTCATTAAACTTAAAAACATTCCTTATATTTACATTTTACATTTTGGAAGCACCAAAAATATGCACAATATTTGAATTTCTCGCTGCCCTATATCGTTATACTTTTACTAACGTCGCTGTAGCCTCATTGTGACGTCACGTCACGTTAGCGCACGTTTCTCCATGTATATTTCTACGCGTGAATATACATGAAAATGGTTTTCAAATCAAATTCACAACTGGCTTACTAGAAAAACACAGCAAATGTAAATATTTAATGGTTATCTAACAATCGAGCTCTACGATAAACGTGATGACTTTAACTTTTTAATCGTCAAACATTCTTACTTATACATCAATATATCTTCATCACCTGCATACGTAGTTTGTATATATCTTCGTTGACGCAATACGCAAGAGCATGCTCTATGTAAGAAAAGATTCTCAAACGAGGTGTATTATTCACAAAGAAGGTGATGGAACAAGAATATCAGCATTCTCCTGTAATTCATCATTTCATAAATTCTATGGTCGAAACAATGACTTTGTCTGCAAATACAATTTATCATTGAGTCAAATACTGACTGACGTTTTTCATACTCATTATAGTCCATTATTTATACACTGAATTGACGAAGGATATTTCCGTTATTTCCCGATCATGACGGCCGATCGGCAGGGGATGTTCATTTCTCCATGGCACCTGATCCCACCTCTGATGTTTTGGAGGGCTGTGTTTGCTCTGCTCCTATCTTGTATTATTTAATGGAATTTTTGATCTTGAAAATCGATAACATAAACATAATTACAGTTAAAATTATGTTTTAAGAGCAAATTAATGCTTTCTCACATATATGTACATTTATTTCAATTCAACAGTTTCATCAATTCACGTTTTAATATGAATGTCTTGTTTATCTAATGTAAGGAATCCTACTTTCAGATATGTGTACACATCAAACTGCTGTGTAACATTACTTAGGGAAATATGACACGACTTAAAACATTAGAAGAGATTAGTTATCTCTTTATTATCTTATTTGCTTCATGGAACGGTCTGGCATCTGCAAACGAAAAAAATGGGAACAAAATTTCCGATAAAGAAACAAAACAAACACAAAGTCAAAATCAAACGACATTAACATCAACAGAACCCCCAGTTTTAACGGAAGCTGTAGCAACAATGACAACAACCGACCTGATGGTCACCGCCAATTTAACAAGTAAGTATATTCCTTAAATTTGGTCGGAATACGTGTATCAGTTGAATTCTAGCTTCTAACAGTATAATTATTTGTATCAATTAGTCAGTCAATGATTGCATATTCAGTGTACAGTGTGTAAAAGTATTGACGAACATTCTTGAATGAATTTTATTCTAAATGGAATCGTGACGCGATTAAAACAAACAAAAGACATACACATAAATGAGCCCTGAGGCAACGAGTCATAAAAATTTCACAATATTCCAATTACCATAATTGATGTCACATGAGTTCTCTTAACATGAATAGTTATAAAATTTGGGGTTGACTTTGACGTTACGTCGTCAGGTATAAAACGTCAAATTCTAGAAGCATCTCACCCTAACATTCAGATCGACTTTGAAATTCAACCAAAAACCATTCTTTTGTCTATTTACCCCTTCAAGGAAAGCGTGGTATATTTATTCTCATTCCTTTTTGGTGGCTCCCTATTTTCCAATTCCAGAAGAAATGTTTTGTTGTCCACCTCCATTAATGCTCTGGTTAGTGTACTAGTACAATTAAACCTTACAACGTGGCAGTCTTTTATAATCGTCGTTGAAAAGTTTTCTCCTTGAATTTCTTTAGTAACATGAAAATCAGTTGCTAAGTACGCTTTTGTTATGCCTGTATTGGACCTGTAAAGGCCCGAGTCAAAGTGTTCCTGAGTTTTTCACAAGTCTGATTAATTATCAAATTTCGACGCTCTCTAACGTTGTCATAACTATCAATAAATCATCAAAAGAAAAACTAAATATACAAATAAATTGGAACATAATTTAATTGTGCCATCGTTTTCGTTTTATGTAAAACATTTTCTTTTTCACATTTTAATAACAAGAATTGAATAAAAATAAGGGCAAATAAATGCTTCTTACGCATTTTCTAACATCCGTTTCTATTGCAAATGACAAAGTCCTAATATGTTGAATTTTAAATATATTTTTCATTTATTTCAAGACTAAGATAATTTAAATCATTCAATTACACGTTATCCCTTAGATAAATAAAATATACAGAAGTTTCACGGATTTTAAAATCAATCCTACATGAAAACTATCATTCAATGCAGAGAGGAAAGTTTTTAAATATTATTATATTGATATTAATAATGAGTCAAATATCATTTATCTTTAAGTAAGGTATATCTTTTGTGAATAAATTGTGTTGACAAATCACTGAAAAAATGGCATATCTTGTAATGTGTATATTAATACAAAATTTTACGTCACTGAACTCAATGGCCATTTTTCTGCTTACAGGATGTCCCCTTATCATTGTCACTCCTGGATTTATCTCGGAATATTTCGGTTCATTTGCTTCATTTACTGGCTATGTTGAGTCGTATTCTGATCGAGCTCTTCTGTCAAAATGGCTGAAAATAACATCAGATGTAACCGAAATCGTTGATATCAGCAGTATGAAATATGTTGGAAGTAAACACTATCCGTATCCAATACTCACGATTCATGATTTGAATTTTCAAGACGATGTGAACTATCAACTTCAAGTTCAAATTTCGATTGGATGGTGTCATAGCAATACAGTGAACTTAGAAGTAAGAGGAAGTAAGTAATTAATGCAACTTATTATAATGTATTACACTTTTTTACTATTGTCAAGGATTTAAAAGAAATCGATAATCAAGATTTCATAAAAGTATAATACTTTATGTTACATTCATAGTACTGACGTTCTATGACAAGTGTAATGAGACAAAGGAATGCAATAGGGGTAAGGGATTGTATTGCTCTTCAAAGTACAATTCCTGTATGTGTAGAGCCGCATTTTACCACAGGAACCAAACGTGTTATATACGTGAGTATTTCACACATATTTGCCTGCATCGACAAGATCTTATATATGTATTAATTGAAAGATTTTAATAAAAATAATTGATTTTTTTCTTTGCAACGATGTATAATTTTACTAGTTTGAATTACTCTCAGTATCAAAACTAAGTAAATCATATTACTTGACATGAGAACGCCTTTGTAGGAAACAATCTGAGAGCAATCTACAGAAGATCGGAGGTTTCTACAACGTTAATCACGTCCTGGTGGGACCATCCTACCGTAGACGCTTCCCTCATCCAGTCATATACAGTAGTTCTAACAGAAAATGGGATGACTCTGAACTTAAGTAAAGTCGTCGGGAAAGAGACGAATTGTACCTTTGCCTCTAATTTTTTGCCTGGTTATTTGTACTATCTTCGTATCACCTCTGAAATTCTACTGAGCGATCCGACTGAAAGATTTTCTGTAACAACAGACTCAATACCTTTGGTAGTGGGTAAGTTGTTCATGTTTTCTGCATTCTCAATATATAATAATTAAAGTGCATACTTGTTTTATTCTAATTAGATAAAATTCAAAATCTTTCCAAAAAAATTAGATGTAGTAGAATCACAAAATATACCGGTATGTTTTGTTTTTTTCATAGATCCATTGCCCCCTGGTGAAATTGTAAGAAACGCTTCTAACTTTCATCCAGAGCATCTATTTCTAAGATGGATTCCTCCAAAATACGCCACTCACGTCAACAGATACAGCGTTTCTATAGACGCAAGAACGGATTTAACATCTTCAAACCAAATTTTCTGGACGACAAGACTTGAACCTGGGACAACATATTTTGTTACTTTGATTTCTAGAAGCTGGGTCGGTCAATGGTTTTCCAAAGATTCATCTCCATATTCTGAACAGATAGAAACATTGCGTATGTATATATAGTTCTTTCCCTCACATTGAACATTTATTCAATCAGAATAACACTTATAGCTGTAAATATGTTTTCTTTGCATAAATATGATTGTAGCATATGTTTTTGGTAGTGAGTGCTCATTATCGCCTTAACGTAAATTAAAGTTTGCTGTGGTAGTCATACAATGAATTTTTTATGTTCTCCGTTATTCTGATCAAAATTATAGCACCTTGGTAATGCCTAGGTCACATTTCCCGGCCGGTAGCCGTAGACCGGTGGTAATCGGTAGTAATCCGTGGTGTTAACGATGCCCCAACATCGATCCACATCGGCCAAGTAGTCCTTAAAGTATCAGTCATATTATCCAGCGATGGGGTATACGATGGACAACCAATGCGTTTTATGAGAAAAATGGTGTGGTTGCCGGCCGGACTTACAAAGGCCCAGCGATGTATTGCTAATCATAAAACGATGTTCCAGGATAATCGGCCGATGTATATTACATCGCTCATACATTGGTGAACAATGTTCGTACTTCGGTCGACTACGGGCCAGTGTTTTGTCGAACATCGACCGATGATCGGTCGTTAATGTTGAACACCATTAAACTCCCCGATGACCTCAGATTCAAAGGATATTGGACGATGCTCGGCCATACATCGGCCGATCCTTGAAAGATGTGTTAATGATGGGTTGCCGATGAGGGGCGATGTGAGGCATCGTTGGAGACATCGCTGAATTTTAACTACGAATTATTTCCTACTGATGACCCCGCCGATTCGCAAAAAAAGACTCAGTCACCGTCCGATCACTAGTGGTGCCCGGCCGGCAACCACGCCATTTTCATCAAAAAACGCATCGGTTTCTCATCGTATACCCCATCGTTGGATAATGTGACTTATACTTAAACTAAAATTTATTAAAAACTGTATATTTTGTATTAAATTCCTCCCATTGGAATCTAGCACGCAGAAGTCTAGGTTTCTTACTGATTTCATCATACGGTAGATATACAGGATCGGTGATACTTAAATCTCTTTAGCCTGAAGTATTGTGAACGGAAGAATAATTTCTCGAAAAGTTATTAATTGACACATCTCAGCATTAATCTTGCAGGGATATGTGAAAGTGTGGGGGGGGGGTGTCTTATGGTGACCTTCAAATTGATATAGTAATTTTAAAAATACAAATTTTAATTATTCCATAAGAGGTTTTGATATATCGTAATAAATGTATTTACATAAACATATATTTATTGAGGTACCACATTATACATGTAGGACCCATGGAAAACGCTACGGTACCGCTCGACTAGTCCTGGCAATGTACGCCACCGCAAAATATGAGACTTGCCGTACAGTGCCAGAACAAAATTGCTGTACATATGAAATATATAAAATATTATATAAATAAGCTGTTATTTAACAATGCACATGGATTTTATTAATGTGACTACGCTTAAAGATTAATACAATGCACATACTTTATTATTATAATTAATAATCTCAACAGCATTAGTAATGCATCACATAGTGATTCACATTCCATTCTTACTTATAAACTTCAATTCATGAACTCATATTTCAGGCACTCCAAAAATTGAACTTACACCACTACGTGTCAACCAACCATTCCTCAAAAGTGTTGTAATAACTGCCTCAGTTCGAAACATTTCTGGTTTTCCACCAACTACAGAGGTAAAATGGCGAAAAAACTCTAGAGAAATTAACATAACAGACTCTAGATATAAAGGAAGCACACTTCATCTTCACAATCCTATTCTGCATATCAACAGAGCTGATTTTTATAACGAACATGGACAATTCTACGAGTGTGTTGCCCGCAATTCGGAAGGATGGGGAACCAGTGATAAGGCTTATGTATATCTGTATGGAAGTACGTTTTCTTTTTTATGCCCCCCTTTGAAGAAGGGAGGGCATATTGCTTTGCTGCTGTCTGTCGGTCCACTTAGTTTCCGTTCATTTTCTTCACAACCGTTGCACATAATGAAATGAAAGAGCTTGGCCCACGAAGGGTCAAAATATGCCCTGTAAAATGGTCAAAATTAAACTGAAGTATTGGCCAAAATTTTTTGATTAAAAGGTAGTCTAGGTATTGTAGTTTATCAAAGTGGAAAAAATCTTGGAGTTCCATACTTGTATACCTGAGATCTATAGCCCCAAAATCATAGAAAATCAGGAATTTGCTTGTTTTATCGCATTTTTGGGGCTAAATAGTCAAATTTTAAATAGAGCACAGGCCTGCCCCAAATTTATTTAGGGTTCAGTTTAAAACTAACATCAAAAGGTTTCTATTCATGAAAAAAATTTTGTGGGGCAGAAGTGTGCTCATACCTTAAAAAGAACATTTCCACAAAAATCCGAATTTCCTCAGTTTTAACCATTTTGCCCCTTGTAAATTATATGGTTATAGATTTTGTTAGAATATTACACATTTTTCACAAAAAAAGTATCATACTACGATTTTTTAGTTGTTCACTAACACTTTAGTAGGTGTATAGGTCCACTATTTAATTTTTTTTTTTTTGGGGGGGGGGGGGCAGTTTACTGTAATTATATATAGTTGATCCCACACTAGAGGTAAACAAATATCTTCGGACTTTTCTTTGAAGTCATGCGTATAAAACGTATGTATCATGTATCAGCAAAAGAAAAGAATACATAAAAAAAATACTAAATAAGAGCTACAGAACTTTAAAAAAAACCCATTAATTTTGAAGTTGTGTACAAATACTGAATATATTCAAAGTCATATTCGCTATTGACGTATTGTTATTGTTTGGCATTGCTCAGTAAAATGGACAACAACAAAAATACGCACGTACATGTATAATTATAGCACGTAGAATTCTACATCTTCATCCTCAAACCATGGCTTTTCCTTAAACCATGTTTGTATACATTGATATACTGTAAATGTATTATATTTGGCGTGTACGATATTTGGCGGAAATTGTATTTTCAACAAGTTGGCGTAGATTTGATTTAGCGCTTTTTAAATGTGCTTTACATAAATCTTTATACACAAAGCATTTAGCGATGTACTTGATTTAGCGGAGGCTGCTTTCCGCGAAAGGCGCTAAAAAGAATACACAGCCAAATGTAATACGTTTACAGTATATATCAGCCTATTCGAACTACAATCAGGAAGATATGTCTACAGCAGGTGAGAAGTGAAAGTAAAGTTTTCACTAAATACCAGAAACGACATAAAACGTTTTATGAAATAAATATTAAAGACACATTAATTTTATTTCTTTTTAAAATTAATACTCATACTGATTACATGTAGCTTTTGGGTTAATTCTTCAAGGAAAACAAATCCGGTTTTTTCAGGCATTATTAGAGCTATGAAGGTCCTAAGAAGAAATATTAGGGGTGGGGGTTGCAGCCACGAACCCACAAAAAATTCCAGGACTAGCAGGAATAAAGAACGTAAATGTATAATATTGTTTAGGGATAAAGCCGCAATTTATCAAAATTTATCTTAATATTTATATCGTTTAGTGTAAATTGGCAATAGTAATTCAGGCATAAAACACCCTATATAGCTTAGAAAAACTGGTCTTTAAATATATCTTTTACACTTACTTAAAATTACTATCTCAAGTTCAGAGCCCCCTCCCTCTCCTTCAACGGTACAAGGCGGACAATACAAAACCGTTTCTTCTTCCCTTTTTTTTTTTTTTGGGGGGGGGTGTTCCAGCCTGCCCAAGTACTGATTGATTGTTAAGTTACACTTTGGTTGAAAAGAAAACTTACAAAAATAAAATTAAAGTTTCCCAAAGATTTTTCACTGATTCCCGTGAGATATTGCATTTGATTTGTTCATCTATCGTTTAGTATTATAAGGGGGGGGGGGGGGGGGGGGGGGGGGTGTTGATTGGAGAGAGGAATATACGTATCTAACTGCCATGTGAGAAATAAAATGCTATTTCTGTGTACAGTACTATTCTAGACTTTGATGAAATGCATGTGCATATCTAATTTTCTGTACACTAATTTTCAACAAATTCAAGGTTTAATATTTAATGCGGGCACAATTATTTACTGTTTTATGGTTTTAGAATAGAGGTGTCCAAGGCTAGGACAATCCCCACTTTGAGACAAAAAAAAAATTCAACTCTTAGTGTAAGAATTCATGATGAGATGTTTTTCAATAATTGCCTTGTCAGAGTCATCTTTTACATATCTGCCTCTTTTAGTTTATTAAATAACTTACTGTTCATATAATTTCATTTTTCACTTAGGTTTGTTTTAAGGTGTGTGGAAAAAAAACTCTCACAAGATTTGAACTCTATCCAAAGCTCAAGGTTGGGCATAATACCGAACCCGTTTTTTCTTTTAACCTGAACATGTTAACCACTACGATACGAGGGCTTTTTGTCATCAATGTATGATAGAGTGCTTTAGGTAAATTGTGTTGTTGAATTAAATATCTTTCCTTAAATCGCTTTTTATATTAAATGGTTTCGGACTCCATTTCTTGAAACGCAAAATAGATTTTACATTTACTTTTCAATCTTTTAAACATTAATGCAAAATGGAGACTTGACCCATTTATATTTTCAAAAATTTATACCCATGACCATTTTCCGGTAAATATGCGTAACTGCATGTCAACTTTAAAAAATATCAATTAAGTCATGCAATGAAATAGATGAATCAAACGTGTAAAAGATGACATAACTGACAACATAATTTTAGAAAAATAAAACTTTTCCGTGAATTTTGGAAATTGAGGTGTGTTGTAATCTCAGTGATGTCTTTATCATAACAATTAATCCACAATTTGTGGTGTATAGTAAAATTAATGTTTGGTAATGTCTGGCAACATTTAGTGATCTTGTAATTTTTTTCTACATTAATTTTGTTAATTTCTGAACAGCGTAACTTGGGACATCGCCCATGATGATGACTATCAATCCCAGATTTTCAGAGGGTTTAATGTTGATAATGATGGCTTAATGGTTATTAACAAAATTGTATCTGTTGAAAATGGTGTTTCATGTGGTAGAAAATGACTAAGAGTTTTTTTTTCTTAACAATATAGCGAATGTTTCGGCAAAACTGCTTACAAGAACATCTTTTTGCAATCAAAATTCCATGCAAATTGAATTCAACAAGAGTTTTTTTTTTAAATGTTCATTGGTTTGGTGGATATTTGTGCATTCTTGCAGTCATTTTTCAAATATTACATACACAAGAGTTCGCAAAATCACTTTAAACAGATGAATATTGATTGTTATGAATGGGGTGCAAGCACACTCTCATGGATGACTTATTTGATAATATTATAAATCCCGTTATCTTATTTTATATTTGTCCGTAACAGAGTAGGGGGGGGGGGGGGTTCAATATTATTTTGCCTAGTTTTGATAGGTACATTTTTATTAAGATGCTGCCCATGGCTAAAAAGGTGAAATCCCTAACGGAATAAAACTTTTTGAGGAGGTGTAGTCACAGGGGCCAGTGATTACTAGTATATTTACTTTTTATGTTTTAAATATATAAATATATATTTATATACAAATACGATGCAAGAAATATTCCTTTTGGTGTATTAAGGGAAGAGGTAAAATCAAACATAGTATTATCAACCCCTGTGGATGCAGTTTATCAGGAGGATAGTTGCTGCATGTTAATTTTTTGTGGAGGTTTTCTCCTCCACCCCCAACCCAAACTTACATTCAAAAACATTGCTATTGGGCCTTGCATGTTAGAATCGCACAAAATTTAACTGGCCACGTACTTCTATTAAACCGATAATGTCATACTTGGTAGTCAATTATCCATTATCAAGTCATTTCTGTGTTTACAATCACATAATTTTTATTGTCCTATATGACGTTACGTCACGTTATACCAATTATGACGTTCCGTTCACAATTTTCTAGTAAAACAATGCCATACTGCAAACTCTCTTGAAGAAAAAGTAAAATAGATATCAAAAAAATGAAAACAGTTCCATAAAGCTTGAAGTCTATTCTATCTATTATCAAAATTTCATTAATTTTTTAGAGGAGGCATTTTTTGACCATTCGTGGGCTTAACTCTTTGGATTACTGATATATTACATGAATATCTAGGTCAAGTTCTGTATTGGGTACAATTGCGCCATTTTTGACAGAGGTATGTCCCTTGGACTAAGAAAAAATTCCAATTATTTGCAGTTTCCTTTCATTTTCTTTGCAGAGGTTGCACATATTGAAATGAAATTTAGTATACAGATTTATCAGATGAATATCTAGGTCAAGTTCCGTTTTGGGTACGATTGTACCATTTTTGACAGAGTAATGCCCCTTGGACTAGGAAAAAATTCCAATTATTTGCAGTTTCCTTTCATTTTCTTTGCAGAGGTTGCACATATTAAGATGAAATTTTGTATACAGATTTATCAGATAAATATCTTGGTCAAGTTCTGTTTTGGGTGGAATCGCTCCATTTTGACAGAGTTATGCCCTTTTGGACTTAGAAAAATTCCAATTATTTGCAGTTTCCTTTCATTTTCTTTGCAGAGGTTGCACATATTGAAATGAAATTTGGTATACAGGTATATCTTAAACGTCTATGTCAAGTTCTGTTTTGGGTACGATTGTACCATTTTTGACAGAGGTATGCCCCTTGAACTAGGAAAAAATTCCAATTATTTGCAGTTTCCTTTCATTTTCTTTGCAGAGGTTGCACATATTAAGATGAAATTTTGTATACAGATTTATCAGATAAATATCTTGGTCAAGTTCTGTTTTGGGTAGAATCGCTCCATTTTGACAGAGAAAAATTTGGACTTAGAAAAATTCCAATTATTTGCAGTTTCCTTTCATTTTCTTTACAGAGGTTGCACATAATAAGATGAAATTTAGTATACAGATTTATCAGATAAATATCTTGGTCAAGTTCTGTCTTGGGTACAATCGCTCCATTTTTGACCGAGTTATGCCCTTTTGGACTTAGAAAAATTCCCATTTGGGGGGAGGGGGGTATAAGTGTTTTCTAAACTCGAGAATATACTCAAAGGCAACATGATTGTTAGATTGTTTATTTATTCAACGTACATTGTATTATTCAAGCGACATCTTCACGTACAAAAGTGAGCATTTTCAATGAATGTGGAATTACTTTATAATACGACTTCGTTTAATTAATTGACAATTAACGTTTTTTTCAGTGACGAAATTAAAGAACACTAAAGCAATTTGTATTATCATATCATTCTCTGTTTCTATTTTCTTATATTTATAGGTATAAAATTTATGGAGTCGTGTAATGAAAGTCGAGAATGTGTACCAAACCAAAACTATGTGTGTCGCTCTGACTTATGCCTATGTTCTTCTTCCTATTATCACGAACATTCTCTTTGCTATCATCGTAAGTGAGCATTTTTAATAATTTCAGAGGGCTCTAACTCTGAATTAGAGTTAACTTGCAAAAACAATTTTTAATGCTTTACTTTTAACAATAAAACTATAGTATTCGATGTGCTAATGAATTATACGATGTTTTACAGGAAGTAGATTGCGAGTGAGCATACAAGGAATAGAAAAAACTACATGTAAGGCAACAGTTAAATGGAGAAAACCGTCACAAAACAATCATCTCATTTCTGGATATGTTGTGAGTTTACAGGCTCATCGATCTAGAGTATGGATGACTGAAGAAATAATACCTGTTGGAAACGTAACCGCATACAGTACTTCATGTAAACTACAACCAGGGCGCCTTTACAGATTTAACATCCAATCGAACATTTTGCTAAGAAATCCTGATGAAACTTTCAGTGTTGATATATTTTCAGCTAATATTATCTTAGGTAATGACTTATTTTTTAATCTCTTTTATATATTTTACCTTAATTTATTTACAAAACATTCTGACGGAACGACGGAGCAATGGGGAATTATGGTTTAAAATCCATTGCATAAAGGACGGACGAACGGAATTAATATACCCCACTTTCAGCAGGGGAGGGATATTTTTTATTATAATATGATATAATATTTGATATATAAGAGTTATATAAAATGAATAATTCCTAACCTTGACTTTGTAGAACCATTGTCACCAAGCAAACTGGATCGGGTAAAAAGTAACTTCTCCTCTCAACATCTTTACCTAAAATGGGAGAAACCTGCAGGTAACACATTTCTCAGTCACTACCTGGTTAACATCAATGGTCACGAACAACAGACATTAGGTAACTATCCTGAGATCTACTGGAGGAAGGGTCTGGTGCCAGGAGCAATGTACAACGTGACAATTACAGGAGTCAGTCATGGGGATATCATGGGTGGACCATGGCTCGGAACTGCTAAAAGTAAACCATACATAGACTGGATTGAAGTAGATCAAAGTAAGAACATAAATAAATCTGTTCGTCTTCTACTGATCATGTTTATAAATCGAAGAAATCAAACTTGTATGGTATTAAAATCCGTTTTACTTGACGGAGGAAAATAAGCCAGCAAATGAGCACGTTTTCTTTTTTTTCTCTATGTTTTTTGGGATACTGGTTCAATCAATTCAACCATACAATATACTTTATAATATACTATTGTTTACCTTTTACTGAACACATTTACTGTAAGAGAAATTTCAGAATTAGTAAATAAAAAATTAAAAGCAATGAAATTATAACGCGTCTTCCATGAAAATATTTTTCTTAATACGTTAAATTTGGTTCAGCCAGAAAGAAAGTTATTTTTTCAATTCAAGATTTCAAAAATGTGCATTTGATCGTACAATTTTATTTTCTAGTAAAAGTATATTTATAATATCTATGTTGTTGTTTCTGTAAAAGTTATTTCTTTCTTGAAAAGAACAGGAGGCACTGGTATTATTTGTTATTTTATTTTGTGTGAAACATTATATAATCTATTTTCTTTTATAATTACAATAGTTAAAGGAGGATACGTGCATATGCCTTATGGAGAAAGAGATAGTGTTTTCTACGGTGATGATGTCACCAGTCCTTATCTTATATCTCCAATGGCAATCTATGCCATGGATGGATCAGAACGTGGATTCAACTGCGTAGTTGTAAGACTCATAACCAATACAAATATCAATTGGTTTCTTTAAAGCCTGTAAATAAATTGGAAAATATGTAATTCGGGACAGTAGACATGATTTAAACACGTGATTGTTTGTTTTAGATTGGCTCAAATGGTGTTATAGGACTTGGAGAGGAGTTTAACTGGTTCAGTCCACATAATTTACACTCTTCAAGACTGAAAAATAAACAAATTATTTGTCCCTTTTGGACTGATTTACAAACAACAGAAACAGCAAGTGGTATTTACTACAACACATACCAAAGGTATTTACTATATTTTGCAACACGTATTTGTTTTACCATTTATCGTTGTTTTACAATTAAATAACTTTAAAAAAATCTTTTTTCCTAAGGGGAAAGGATGCTGAAGACACTCTTTTCCTGAACAAAGCAAATGAAATGATAAGAATACAGTTTCCAGATTTCCACGATTTTGAGGCGACATGGCTGGTCAAAGTGACTTGGGAAAACATGACTTTATTTGGATATCATTCACAGGTTGTGTCACAAAGCCTACTTAAAATAAAAGTCGAGATATAAGATCAAACATGGATAGATAGATAGATATACATATATATATATATATATATATATATATATATATATATATATATATATATATATATATATATATATATAAAGCACTAAAAATGACCAACGACACGAACAATAAAAATTGTCAAATTTTCGGGACGCCCTGTCCCTACCTCAGGACAAAGAAAAAAGTTAAAAAGTCATAAGAACAAAGGAAAAATAGAAACAAAAACAAGTAGCACTACTACTAAGCTACTAAACACTAGATATTTACATACTTCATTACATGTTGAATTCGAAATTTTTAAGAACAATAATAAAGAATAAATAATAAAAATTTCGAATTCAACATGTAATTAAGTATGTAAATATCTAGTGTTTTGTAGCTTAGTAGTAGTGCTAGTTGTTTTTGTTTCTATTTTTCCTTTGTTCTTATGACTTTTAACTTTTTTCTTTGTCGTGAGGAAGGGACAGGGCGACCCGAAAATTTGACAATTTTTATTGTTCGTGTCGTTGGTCATTTTTAGTGTTTTATATAAATTTCCATCCGTGACCTTGTATCTACTTGGTAGATCCGACATTTAGGATATATATATATATATATATATATATATATATATATATATATATATATATATATATATATATATATATATATATATATATATATATATATATATATATATATCCAAAATTTAAATAATGTCTCATTAATCGGATAACAATATTAAAAAAGGTAAAAAGAAAACACAAAAATCCTCAGTTAAGCTTTAGCGCTTTCATTTTCAATCTTCAGAAGCTTTCAATCCTTCTGAAGATTGAAAATGAAAGCGCTAAAGCTTAACTGAGGATTTTTGTGTTTTCTTTTTACATTTTTTAATTAATATATATATATATATATATATATATATATATATATATATAGTCTCTTGTGTTATATGAAGGACAGATAAAAAAAAAAAACATTTATCAAAGAATTTGAAAATAACAACTTGGCGCATGTTTAAATTAGTACAATGAATAATTTTCACCGCGTAGTTTTTAATTTTTTATTCAAATTTGCACAAAAATGGAATTTGAAGTGCAAAATACTTGTATAGATTAATAAGGATGGTTTCAGAAGGACAGACTTTTGAACATCACAGAAGGTTTACAATTTCTTTATATTCTAGAAATTTATTATTTGCATCATTTGCAATGAAATTAGGCCAAAAAATATATACCAATCCAGGCATCCATTTTTGTTTGTGTCATCTGTCCTTAAGAATATATGTTACAAATGACATGAGTAATATGACTTTAATATTATTTTTTAGCTCGTGACATTCCAATGTCTCCTGATAACAGATGGAGTCAGCACCTTTACAGTCATAAATTATATAGATGTTAACCTTAAACCAATCAAAAGATTGAAAATTATTGTTGGATATCGCTTTCAGGAAATATTTACGAAGAATATTCTTTCAAACAAACATTCTGCTTTTCAAATGAGTCAATATCCAGGAAACAGAGGTAACTGCTGAAAGGATATTTATTGAAATAATATATTATACTATAATTTAAGAATGGAATGCGTATATGAGATTATGAATAAGAGTTTTGTTTTTCAAGTAAAAATTTTAAAAGTTTATCTTTTTATGCTAAGGTAAAAATATGCCTTTTTTGGCTGGATAAGCTGTAAATTTCAAACAGTTGACATGGTAAATGTGCCTTGTATTAATCAGATTTGAAAGAAATTGAAGATATTCGTATTCTTTGTTATTGACATTATTGACATTTTAAAATAAATACCTAGTTATTCGCACAATTTAAGATTTAAAATTAAATTTGAATGTTAAGGTGTGCCAGGATTCTGGATTTATAAGATGACCATAGGAAGACCATTGAAAAAGGATGATAAAGTATGCTATGACTGGTATATGAAAAACAAAGAAATGGGTATTCGAGATCAACTGTTACCTGTACTTAGTCAAATCCGGTGTCCGTGTGACAGTCGTTTGCTTAGATTCGATCCACGATACGTCATTAACAGATTCGACAGGAAATATCGTGTCCTTTGCTATGCATCTATGATTGTTGGTAGAAATGCTGTAAGTAGACTTTGTTGGTAATGTATTTTACTTCGTATCATGGATTCAAGAACTCTTTTTACATTGCACACTAAAGATTTATGATTTTATGGTATTTTCCTGGAGTTGGAGACATCTGCCCTCAGATCTAAATTCCATTAAAAAGATTTTTTTGTATTACTCAGTTTGTGCTCAATTCAAGTAGTAACATTTTAAAAGGCCAAGATAATTAATACTGTGTGTTGTTTGAACATTTTTCGGACATAAGCCCAATACATAAACCATAATTCTTTCTTAATGTCCACATATAATTATTACTAGTGTAGAGAGGGTCTTTAAAGCCTCCTGTACTACATTTTATATATAAAAAAAACATTGACCCCAACAGTGATTTTTATCAACAGCATACATGTAAGCATTAGATACAAAGAGAATAAGATCTGAGACATAAAGCGAGGCATACTATTTAAAGAATAATTTATGTCTTATCATGTTACGATGAAAATTGAATACAGAATTGGAAAGTTTTAAAAATGGGGTATATTTAAAAATATATTTAGTGTATGACAAAAATTTTTCGAATTAATTGATTAAAGTTGGTTATTAAATTGGTTATTTCCATTCTCTTGTCGATACGATAATACGATAATGTCCCGGTGAGTTTGAGATAAAAGATTCTACTGTGTCTGACACAACTGACGCATATGCAGATATTGTACCTGAAAAAGGTCGTTAATTGTAATCTTATGATCCAAACTTTATAAATGTGATGATTTTAACCGCCAACTTCCCTTACTTATTCAATCGCCAACTTCCCTTACTTATTCAGCAATGTACCATCATCACCTGCATACGGGTTTTATATCTCCCAGTTGATTTGATACATAAGTACATGCTCTACGTATACACAATTTCTAATACGAGGCAAATTATTGACACAAAATTTGCTGTAACATCAGCATTTTCGTTTAAAGATATTCTTTTTAAGTACTATGGGCGATACAATGACCTTGTCAGCATTTCAAAAATAAGCAAATGATAACTCGATTTTACGTGACTGCCCTAAGTTTGAATTTTTTTACACCTAGTTTTCACGTATTTTCTTAAAGAAAAAATGCTAATAAAAACAACAAAAAAAAAATACTCTAGATATTATGCTGTAAATAATGCAACTTTTTAGTTAAACTTTTATGATTAAAAAGGGGTCTTTTCATCTCTGCATGTAAATAAAAAGTTGCAAATGCTTCAAATGTAAAGTTATAAATAACAAAAGATATATTAGCAAAAGAAACTGTATGTGAATGTTAGGTGCAACTTTACTTCTTTGGTAAAGGGCGTGATCACCATTTTGGTATTTATTCAGTTATGTAAATGGCAAAAATACACATCTGTAAAATGAATTTAGAGATGATTTAAGATTAAACTTAAATAGATATGTCTTTGATCAGAAGGGCGTTTAACCTAAATCTTCGATTGGAGTTACGCTAATGGCATGGTATATATGTTTTCAGGAGTGTTGTTACAGATTACATCGAAGAATAGATAATTTAAGTGTTCTTGAGCGATCTCTTCCTGCAGTTGGGACACTGTTACAATACAATCCTTTCTTTGAGCGCCATCTTTACATAAAAAATGACCTGAAACCAAGAGAGGCATGTACTAAATCTCGGCATTTTAAATGGTTTTATGAAGTGCGGCCAATTCCAGGTTGCTATCGGAGGTCACCTTTTCGACCAGGTATTGTTAATTTCAGTTTCACTCTAATCTGAAACTTTACCTTAAATATTAAGTCTATTGTACATAGAAAATTTAGAATTATGCATTTTTAGTTTTTTTTTCTTGGATAGCGCTTTAAAATTGAAGAATTATCTCTATATAAATATAAATGTTGCCTAATGGAACGTCAAATGTCTAATATACATCACAATATCCTGCGCTGTCACTGTGTCCGGTGTAAGTGGGTGATAATTAAGTATGGAATTTAACATGGCTGCTACATGAACTTCCTTTCTTACACAAAGAATTTATTATTTATTTATATTTACAAGTTTATTTCACAGATAAATGCACATATATGCAATGAAACTGGGTATGCCAAGGATACTAATGACGATTGAAAACATTGGATAAATAATGAATAAAGGTCTTCACTCTTATTACTCAAAGTATCCAACTGTCTAAAGCTGAAAACGATTCGAAAAAAAAGAATTCGTCCATCATATTCGATTGTATACTCGGTATATCCGATGACCCTTAAAAGCCGCTTACTCTGTCATTGTTCAGTGTTATCAGTCATCACCATTGTCTTATGTTCTACGCTACACAGCTATCGATAGCCTAAAAATAATTATGAATTTATTCTTATGCAGAAGAGTAAAATAGCACACTTACAACACTTCCACTGGTCAGTGCAGTATACGAACGAAAACACGGATGCTGATATCGTCGATAGTACTATCAAAAATGACCTATACATATTTACAAGTCGAGTTCAGCTGTAATATCATGACATATTTCAACTACACAGCTCTTCCTTGCTTTATAAAAGTGACTTGGCGAGAAAGACATATAGACAAGCAAGGAAAACAGAAGTACATATAAGTAAAATCACAGAAAAGAAATCAAGTTATCCTATAAATAGAAGTCAAATACAACACTAAGCTCTACGATATCAGAAAAGTTTGCAAATAACCCTCTTAACCATTATTACCTTTAGTTTGAAATTCACTAAGTATTGAACACGTGTAATGTATGTTCTTTGAGGAATAAACTCTGGTGACCCTCACATAAGAACACTTGATGGAAAACAATACACCTTTAATGGCCACGGAGAATACGTTATGATGAAAATAACAAAAGGTGGGACGAGATTCGACTTCCAGGCAAGAACAGAACCGGCAACAACATCGAATGGCACTGTCATCAATGCTACAGTATTCAGTGCATTTGTGGCTCAAGATCAGACTGGATCCAAAGTACAAATAGAAATGTCATCTGACAAACAAGGTGAATTAAATGCTTTAAATTCGTTTATAATCTATGGTTTTTGATACATATAAAATGATTTATACTAATTCTAGACTTAATGTCAAAATTGATAGCTAAACTTGGGTATTAGTCTGCATTGTATTGTAAGTTTGTTCGAGTCATATCGACTGTAACACCCTTAAGAATAGAAAAGTCATGGCTAATCATATGTACAAAGAACGTTTTTAAGATGGTGTACATTTAGTCTTGTTTGAATCATGACCCAGGAGAAAGAATATTGACACAATAGGCATTCAAATATTGTTACATAGGTGTGTATAAAAACAAGAACAGTAAACTGTTGTTTATGATACTGTAAATCACTAAACTTTTGCGAAACCTTATTTACGCGAGATAGTCATTGACTTTTGATTAGCGAGACAATATTTTCACGAATTGTGGTTTTTGCTCTTAAGGAATATTATTATACGCGAGAATTAAAAATTCGCGAGCACACTGTCTCGCGTAATTACGCGAAAATAAAGTTCTCGCGAATAAAAATTATTTACCATTTATTAATTTGAAAGTAATTTGAAAAGCATGCTGAGGGAATGTTAATTTAAATACATTTTTATCATCCCTGCAGGAATAATCGGGCCACAATATCCGAGTATTGTTTTACATAAAAAATATAATTAAAAAGGGGAAATTAAGGAGTACAAGGGGTATATTGATTTAGGTAAGCGTTTTTGCCTATGCGCGCTTCTATTGTTTTATTTTCAGATTTAATAATCAGAGGAAATGGAAATGACCTGACTACAAGATTTCAGAATACAAATTATTCTTACCTTACACAAAATTTATCCATTCGTTGGGAAAATAAATCCATATCGGCATCTTTTTTCCAGTCTTGTAAGTAGGAAATCTTAATGATGCAATGAAATCGAAATAAAAAAGTTTATGCATACTAAACATGTTTCTGATGATATCAAATACATATTTTCAGCAATAATTCTAAAAGTCCGACTTGGAGTACGATTTTTGATTTCGGAGGTTGTGGTTGATGATACGTACATGGGCTTTGTCCAGGGATTGATGGGAAACTTTGATGGGAATATTACAAACGACTTCATTCTCCCAAATGGGACCACTCTAAGTGAGAATGAAGCAAGAACAGAACGGGACATTTTCTACAATTTTGGACAGCGATGTAAGTCAAAAATTTTTTGTAAATAATCTTATAAATACTTGTTTTATAAAATACTTATTTATGTGTAAAGATTTTGCTCATTTAATGCTTCATTCAAAGGGTCTGTCAATGACAAATCTATATTCTATTACGATGAGGGACAAAATCATGAGAATTTTTCACATCCGGAATTTGAACCTTTATTCATGGACGAAGTAGATGAAGAACAGCTTAATTCGGCTAAAGAAATATGTGGGACAAGCCCATCTCAAGCCTGCATTTTTGACTTTCTCGCAACAGGAGATATTAGTTTAGCTATGTCATCTGCCAACGAAGAAGCAAAATCTTTAAACGACATCGCCATTGTAGGTAAGCGATTAAAATCTATTGAATTGTATTTCTCGTACATAAATGTACCGGTATCTAGAAATTATATGCTATTTCTTTTTGTACATCTTAATATAGAAAATGAAATTCCAAGTATATATGGGAATACGACAATTAATGCTGAAGTTAATAACGAAGTTATCTTAAGATTTAACGCATCTGATGACGGTAAAGAAAGACCAGTGTTCAAAATCTTAAAACAACCAGAGGGATTTAGCTTCAACGCAACAAATGGAGTAGCAACATGGACTCCTATAAGTACAAATGTATCAGAAATAAGGTATTTTTCAAGTCAACCATTTTCATATTATTCCTCATTCTACACCAAAAATTATACCGGAAATGATGCATAAAACGGGTTTTGTATAAAATATGCAAAAATTATTCTAGTGTTAGTGTTGTCGATGACAAGGGGGTCGAATCGCCATCTCTGGATGTTACAATCATACTGTGTAGTGGCTGCAGTAATAGAGGTCGATGTGACTATGAAAATTTCTTAACAACAGAAAATGCCCTAAGTAATAAGGCTGGATGTAGTTGTAACATCGGTTATTCCGGTAAGAGATTTCACTTTCTACACCCTGGAACGTTTGGCATAATTTGTAGCTATACGATTATTTACAAATAATCATGCCAGATATTCTAAATTACCAACACCTAGTATAAACTGTTCTTTAAACGACTAAATAGTAATAAAATATTCCAAAAACAAATAATTCGGATTTTGAATTATATGTAAATATCTTCAAAAGTTGTGGTCAATAAATTACTTTTACTGTTGATATCCATTTTCACGGAAGTTGAATGTGCTTATGCGCAAAAAATACATCAGGGGAAGGTGTGTAAATTCCATGGTGCAGTATGAAATTGTGTGTGAAAAAACTCTGTTTATACCGGAAAATCATAATTTGAACAATTTGGTATTTTCTGGGTAAAATACAACACTTTAGAAAACTCACAACAGAGTGTAAGTAGTGACTTTTTAAAATGTAGTGACTTGCTGGTGTATTACCTAGTTCGTGTAGTGAGTTTTGGGGTCTTACCAACACACTCACACATACACACAAACCCTACGCCTCATACTCACATCTCTCACACACCATAATGCACACTCAAGCCCTATATCCTACACACGCACTTATTGAATCATTGTTGGGTTATTCCTAGGTGAGGATTGTGAACAAGACATAGATGCTTGTGTTCAGAGTCCATGCTCTCTAGATAGAAATTGTACCGACCTTACTCCTGCTGAAGAGGTCATACTGGGTCGAGGATACAACTGCTCAGAGTGCCCACCTGGCTTTGTGGATGTTGATACTAAATGTGCAGGTATCTAATTTAAGTCTAAAACAAATGAGCAGTGTCTCCTTAATTTTTAAATAATTCCTTGTTTAAAATAAAGCGACATTTTCACACTTTCTTTAGATGTTGATGAGTGTGGATCTGTGTTCACCAACACCTGCAATGTTTCTAGCGAGATGTGTGAAAATACTGACGGAAGCTATATATGTCATTGTTTGAATGGTTATAGAAAAATAAACGACATTTGTCAAGGCAAGTATAAACATGTTATTAGATTAAAAACTATACGTTAACTTCCTTATTAAGTCGAATCATTAAAATTAGGGTGTACTGCATTTTTGTACTGTATTTGAGGGGGAGGGGTTGAGTTTAATTTTCAAGCACCTGAACTCGAACTTGACAGAATTTTTCATTATGTCTGTGTGTTTTCTGGGTAATAAAACGTTTATTAAGAATTGCATTTATTTACTGGATCAAAACAGAAACTGTTTGTTTTTTAAATAACGATGTCCAATCAAAATTGTGACTTTTTTTAAAGAAAAGAAAGCAAAATTTAATATTGAAGCACACTGAGTCACAGAACACGAACAGTTATATATTTTTATGTATTTTTATTTTATTTAAGCTAATATAATACATTTACTTCCTGTTTAAATGGGCAAATATTTGCTTTATCGACACAGAGACTTAGTTCTGAAATATTTAATAACAAATTAAATTATTGTAAAAAGTATCTTTTTTACCATGACATAAGATAAAATAAAATTGATATCAACTTGCATGATTTTATGAATGAAATAAAATATTCTCTATCTGTTGTAGACATTGACGAGTGTTTAGAGGACACTTCAGACTGTGAACAAATATGTCGAAATACACAGGGTTCGTTTAATTGTGATTACCACTTAGGATTTATCTTAAATATCGACAAATCATCGTGTATTAAATCAGGTACGACCACAGGTATTTAGCAATTGTTTCAATGGAAAGACTTCTCTCTAATTTTTAATCGCACTTATCTATCAACAAAGACGTCAACATATAATTTAGTAGTATTCCAACGAATCAAGAAAATTACACTATAACTCTTTCCTTCTTGTAACAATTTTTTTTAAATATTTAAATTGTAGAAGACAACCTCTGTGAAAACTTTGAAATGTGTGAATACACATGTGGAAATGCTTCTGGAACGTTGAAGTGTGTGTGTCCGCTGGGATACGAATTAGCATCTAATGGCTTAAACTGTAAAGGTGAATACCTTTTCCTATTTAAAGCGGCAATACGGCTGCAAATCGTCTGCTTTTTCATTCAAATTTACCTAAAATATCATTCAGGAATAAGGTAAAAAGTTGAAGTAAGCATTTGAGAAAAATAAATATTCTTTTCTCATGTAAAATTAACGTAATTAAAATCTGCCGAAAAATCAAGGGTCGTACAATTTAGTTCTGTTTATTTGTACCACGTGAATTCTAAAATGGCACGTGCATACAGTGTAGGGTTTACAATTACAATGAAATATTAAGTAAAAGCAATTCTGAGAATCAAAATATCTTAACTCTCCGGTAAATTAATAATTGTTAACATATTAGTCTGCATTCAGACGAATTTAACATGATTAAGTACAAATGTTGACGTTTTGTGTATTGCGGTGCAGGAAAGGAAAATCCACCAAAACATACGTCATCGCGGCAAAATGTCAGACAAAATATCTTTCTGCGGTTCCAATACAATTTGCTTTTCAAATGGCAATAATTTTTATATGTCATTAGTGCATTTTACGTTGAGTTTACACTGATTTTTTTTCTTTGAAAGCCATGGAGATACGACAAATGATAGCATGTACATGTATCAACAAACCTGTAGGGTAGAACCTTCGCGATCCCAACGTGAATGTCGCGGAGATCCCGTTTCTTCTTCATCCAATGATTATATTAATATCCCAACTAAATTTTTGTCAGGAAAGTTGCTTTTTAATTACAAGCCCCATTTTTGGTTTTGTTTTTCGTTTTGTTCGACTTTGTCAATGTAGCAGGCCTACCGGGCTTCCCTCTCTTACCATGCTGTTTTGTTTATGAAAACTATACGCATGCGTGAATAGCATGGAATGTGGAACCTCGAACACGTTGCGATGTATATACAGGTAACTCTCGATACCTCGTAGTCCGCGGGACCGAGAGAAAACTTCGAGAGATCAAGAGTTCGAGATTTCAAGAGTCCGGAATTCTTCAGGTTTGTTGACCGGTTTTGAAATTAGTCTTACCGGATGTAATAATTTTCATGCAGTGCTAACCTTTTACACGTGGTGTTTATAAAACAGCGATATGTTTTCGTATTGTAGATAAATATTTATTAAATTGAGTAAATAAAAAAATGTACTTCGTCACTTTGTTTATTTATTCTTTTTGATACGGACGTCAAACTACGCATTCGTTAAATGAAAACGACATTTTACCGCGCCGTACATACGGATTGCATGACTACTTCAAACATGATCATTAAACGTTGAAGGAAGTTCTGTAAGTAATTGTGCAACAATAGTCGTAATATTGACATTGAGGCTGTCTCTGCATTTTCATATTCGTTAAACTTTGACACTGACTCGAAATAAAAATGAAACTATTTAGTTTTTCATCTTGTATTCAATTTACAATTTTTCATTGACACCGCTTCTCCGAATTGTCGTAAGACAGTTGATGATAATTATTTTAATAGCATATAGGCAACATGTGATTAATTATAAATCAATTATCACCTAGCAGTACAAGTGTCACCTGAATAAACATCCCGTTTCTCGAGACCTGCGTCTTCTGCCTGGGGCCATTTAAAGTCGCTAATTATGTAACATTGTAAACACATACATTGTAGCCACTTCGAGGTTTCAAGGGTAAATTCCAATAGAATATGCATAACGGGACTGCATTTTGACTTCGAGGGATTAAGGGTTTCGAGAGAACAAGAGTTCGAGAAATCAAGAGTAAATTTGCTTAGTTATATAGCGAAAAAAAATCGGGACCGGAGACTCACTTCGAGCGATCAAGAACTTCGAGAGATCGAAGTTCGAGCCATCAAGAGTTACCTGTATTTATGGGCCATGGATAATTATTAATTTTAATGAAATAATCAGAATTATTTACTTATGAAATTTGTAATTTTCTGAAAGTGTATACATGTACATTTATGAGTATGAAAAAAATTCCAAATTCTATAGGAAAATTTTAACAAGTCTCTTTTTGAAGAGATGTGCCATTTTCACAATTTCATCTTCTTCTCAAGAACCACTGGGCCAATATCAACCAAACTTGGCACAAAGTATCCTGAGGTAAAGGGGATTCAAATTTGTTCAAATGAAGGGCCAAGCCCATTTCCAAGGGGAAATAATTATGAATTAGTGAAAAACAAATGACATTTTTCAAAAATCTTCTTCTCAAGAACCAATGGGCCAGGAAAGATGAAACTGTGGAAGCATCCTCAGGTAGTGTAGATTCAAGTTTATTCAAATCATGGTCCCCGGGGGTAGGGTGGGGCCACAATAGCTGATCAAAGTTTAACATAGGAGTATATAGGGAAAAACTTTAAAAATTTCTTCTCAAGAGCCACTGGGCCTGGAAAGATGAAACTCATGTGAAATCATCCTCAGGTAGTGTAGATTCATGTTTGTTCAAATCATGACCCTTTGGGGTAGGGAAGGGGAACAGAATGTCTGATTAAAGATCTACGGAGGACTAGATAGGGAAATCTTTTAAAATCGTCTTCTCAAGTACTTCAAAGCCATGATTAATGACATTTATGTGGAATCATCCTCAGGTAGTGTAGATTCTAGTTTGTTCACATCATAACCCCCAGGGGTAGGGTGGACCACAATGGGGGAAATAGCAAAGCCATGATTAGTAATACTAGTATTTATAAGGAAGCATTTTTTGGTAGTGTAGAATTGAATTTGTTCAAATCATAACCCCCAAGGGTAAGGTGGGGCCACAATGGTGGATTAAAGTTTTACATAGAAAAATAAAGGGAAAAAACCCCAAGAACAGAAAAGTTATGTTTAGTCATATGGACATGTAAGCATCCTCATGTATTGAAGATTTAAATTTGTTTAAATCATGGCCCTTTGGGGTAGGGAGGGAAACAATGGGGAATCAAATTCAAATTATTTAGAAGTAATATACATGTATATAGGAAGAAAATGTTTTTAAAAAATCTTTTTATCAAGAATAGCAAAGTCATATGCTGTATTAATATGAAAGCAAGGAGTATTAAAATTCAAGCCCCCTCCCCCTCCCTTCTGATTTGTGCTTTTTCATAGCCGTTTTTCTCAGTTGAGCGATGTGGCCCCTGGGCCTCTTGTACATAATATATTATATGTAGCAGTATTTGTTGTATAAGCTTTCTGGTAATGTGTACATACTTAAATCAGTCCGAATGATAGTGTTACCTTACAGGTATATCTTTTATTTCATTTAGATATAAAGGGGTTGAACTTGCAAATCACTTTGTAGTACATGCGCGCAAGGTTGTATAAATACTAAAGGATCATTTAATTGTACCTGTCAACTGTGTTTCTTAAATGAGGATAAACGTCATGTTAAAACATGTCATCATTATTCAGATATGAATATATCATTTTTTATATTAGAGATGTAAAATAAAATAAATATATGTCACTTTTTTTTGCTTCAAAATCAATGAAAATATTATTTTTAACATGTTATTTTTTTAACAAAATACTTACTCAAGAAACATTTGATTTGTTTTTGATGCTGATAAAAGCCATTAACTGTTAGTTTCAGCAGGAACATTTAAATCCTTTTCATGAGAAAAACCAAGTGTTAAAGAAGCATAGTAAATTTGCAAAAAAAAAAAAAAAAATGAATTCTCAATGTTGCAATGACAGTTAATTCTACTAGTTTTAAGTTGATTTTATTTTTTGGATTGTAAGGTACTTATTGTTCAAACTGAAGAATAATACATACTTTGAAAACTATAGAGTGTGAAATTCCTGATTATGGTGAGAACTGTAGTAAAGTGTGTGAATGTGGTTCTGGTGGAGACCGCTGTGACCCAGTTAGTGGGTGTGTCTGTCTGCCAGGGTGGACCGGGGTAAAATGTGACGAAGACATTGACGAGTGTTCAGTGGATCCATTTATATGTGGTTCTGACCGAGAGTGCCAGAATCTGGAAAGTTCATACGTGTGCATTTGTGGGGAAGGTTTTGATATAAATGGTGATAAATGTGAAGGTATGATATGGAAATTAATTGAGAAGCTTGTACATGTATCAAATTTTATTTCATAAATTGAAATTCTGAATTTTAAACATTTGCCCAGAATATTTTGTTTAGAAATAGTGTATTTTATATAGATATTGACGAGTGTGCTGACGAGAGCTTAAATGATTGTCCAGAATTTACATTTTGTGTCAATACAAATGGTAATTATACATGTGAATGTCAAAGTGGATTCCAGCTTATAAACGATGAATGTGAAGGTAAATATAAACTGTACTTTTTGTGTAATACAGTAAAATATATAACCGTCAATAATGATGCTCAGTTATCTACCGGTATGTAAAATGAAATGAATTCATTCTGTTCTCTTATCATTGTATTTTACCCATGCATTTTGGAATTTTCAAGGTTTAAAGCAAGAACTACATGATGCATTTTTTTCAGATATAAATGAATGTGAGACCGGACGACACGGCTGTACCCAACTGTGTATCAATGTAGATGGTGATTATAATTGTTATGATGCAACACGGATTCAATCTTCAAAATTGTAAAATGTGTGAAAATGGCCCCAGGTGGGCATCTTACCTTTTTATTATCTATTGCAAAGCTTGTTGCTTTTTAAAACAATTCTTTTCCCTAATGCAATTTCATAATTGCACAAATTTTTACTTTTTTATATTTCATATATTTTCCCAATTGCTTATTCTTACTTTTTAGAATTACTTTACTGAACATTGTGAAACATTGCAAACATTCTACCTATACTTATCGTAAATTGAAACAAGGACTCTTTTAGATATTGGAATTTGTTTAAAACACGTTTCTTATATTCCAGTTAAGGATATATGTTCCCTATCTCCGGGGATAAACTGTAGTTACGGTTGTATCCAAAGTATACAGGACTCAGAGAAAGCTATATGTTTCTGTGAAAAAGGATACAAACTTGATAGTGACATGAAAACTTGCATTGGTAATATAAACGTTGTTTGCATTTATATTTTAAATATGACAATTTAATTTGCTTTTTTTCTACATTTGACGAAAAATGGCTTTTAAAGTTGATATATGTATTTCTTTTTAGACATTGATGAGTGCCAAAAAAATTCTACTTGTGATCATAACTGTACAAACACGGTAGGGTCTTTTGAATGTGGATGTGATATTGGATATGAGCTTCAAAATGATGGAATATCATGTAAAGGTACATTCCTAATGCTAATCTAATGTAAAAGTATTTGGCAAACGGGTGGAATTCAATTTGTGGCATCAAATTTTACTCTTTCTTTTACTTCATTCTTTTATACAATACATAAGCGTTCAATTTTTGATAATAAAATATACTTTTTTCCAGTTGTGTTTCTAAGAATAAGAAATCCTTTTGAATTTTTTATTTTTCTTATCTTTATGAGATCATATTTCAATTCATATAATTAATCTTCACTTCATATACTATAAAGAATGTAAATGTAATATTTATGCTGAGTATTCTCTTAAGTATTTTATTTTAATTTAAAGCTATATTATACGTTCATAAATATGTTTTAGTAAAGAAAATTTTTATATCAAAGTGTGTTAGAAATATGTCGATAGGACCCATTAGAACGTGTATGTATGATGATCAAGATTTAGAAGGGTTTTGTATATTACTGCTGACCATTTAATACATCCTACATTATTTCCTTTCATAAAAAACTTTCTAAGAACAAGTGACTCATGTATTGTAAAATTATATTATGGTAACTTTAATCAGTTTGAAAATAATCTTTTTCGGACAAAAATTGAAGTTCTTTTATTTTAAGCCAACACATGCAAGTTTTCAATGTCTTTGTAGTTGCTGTTCTACTTTTTGAATAAGTGTTTAATAATACATAATGTTTTTCTGCCATTCAGTTTCTTCAAGTCTCAATCTTAAAGAAGTTTTCACATCTGCAATTATATCTATGTGTGTATGTCATCTATCTGGGTTTACATCACCTATGTTCTTGAGACGATGATAAAATGTACTTTTCTTAATTCTATTTGTCAGCTTGCAATGGGTATTTCTATGGTAAGGATTGCAACACGCCGTGTAAATGTGGACGGGGTTCCACTGCCTGCCATCATATAAATGATTGTGTTTGTCAAGCAGGATGGACAGGAGAAACTTGTGAAACAGATATCGACGAATGTAAACTGCATCCTTGCATTGGTGAACATGAGCTATGTCTCAACACCCCAGGGTCATACCGATGCGATTGTGTTACTGGTTTTAACAAGTCAGAGGGAAGTTGTATAGGTAATGAAACATCAATGAAAACCTGATAAACGGTATAACATTTTACATGGAACATATTCCAAGATGTCTCTTATGGTCAAACCCCACAGTAAGAGAATAACACCTGCATTTGTCCTTTTCTCACTAACAAATTGACATTGATTGGTTTCCTTCAATGTTTTTTTTTATTTCCATAGACATTGATGAATGTAAGAATCCAACATCATGTCAACAGATATGTATAAATACAAATGGAACTTATCAGTGCGACTGTGACAATGGCTATAAGTTAACAAATGAAAAATACTGCGTAGACATCAATGAATGCTTTGATACAAGATGTCATGACTGCAATAACTGGCCTAGAGATTTCAAATGTTTGTGCAACCAGGGCTACAAAGTCAACACAACAACCCATAAAGAATGTCATAGTATGTATTTCATTTGTTTTAGTTCAAATTACCAAATTTATCGAACAAGAATACGTAAGCAAAAAAATGCATATTCGTTTATTAAACCAATTTCTGAATTCTAAAAGAATTTATACAATAAGTAAGTTCTTCATTTCTTTTTTCCAGATATTGATGAATGTGCTGATGGGAGTAACCAATGTTCTTCCGATGCTATATGCACAGATACGATTGGGAGTTATTTGTGTGAATGTCCCCGAGGATTTAAAGGAAACGGATTCACATGCCAAGGTTGTTGGCAGTAAATATTATGCCTTCACAACCTCTTTTTAAATCTTATAAATATGATTTTATTAAACGTTGAAAATTTATTTTTCAGTTTGCCAGAACTATACATTTGGTGAACAGTGCTCCCAAGTGTGTACATGTGTAACCAACCAAACAGAGGTCTGCAATGCCTCTTCTGGTTTCTGTCAGTGTATTACAGGGTGGGAAGGGAGCGATTGTTCAAAAGATGTGAATGAATGCCAGGACAATATTACCCAGTGTGACAATGAGTTACAGCAAGCATGTGTCAATACACCTGGCTCCTCCCACTGTGAATGTCGTTTTGGAGGATTGAACCTTAATAAATGTGTTTGTGAGTATATTTTCTGTATTTACGAGCAAGAAATTATAGTTTAACCGATACCAAACTTTTCTATGCAATACAATCTTTGCACAGACTGCGCTGCAGAACTGTTCGATTGCTATACTTTGAGACTTTGTGAAAAAATATTTTGACTTGCAATTCTATTTCTTATATCTGTAATTGTAGATCCAAAATCAGCTTACAGTACAAGTAAGATTAAATCTTCAACATGATTTTTCTGTAACTTTCCTCATTCATTTTTTTTACATTTCATTTTAAAGATATACTTTAAAATTTATAAAAATCAAAAATAATGAACAAAAGCGGAATACAAGACATTATTTGAGTTTTAAAAAAGAAAAGACAATAAGATTTTAATAGAAGACTATGAGTGTTTTCATTTTTGATTTTTTTATTGTTGAGAAACTCTGATTTTTGCAATAAATGAATTTATAATAGATGAGACGGAAATGAAAGTCAGAATTGAGGTAGAGTTTGCCACCAATATAAGCCGTCAAGAATTTCTTCTGAAAAGTCAAGAACTACTACAAGAATTCCAATTATCCGTATGTTCAAACTTTTTTATGATCTGCTAAGATGCAGTTGTTACCTGTAGTCCGTAGTCCAGTATTTTTATGTCATTTTTATCATAGATAATTTGATATTTTTTAAATGATTTATTTTTTTTTAATTTTCACTGTATCTCTTATTTTTTCCCTTTGCAAATCCAGCTGGAAAGATATTACAAGAAAGAAAACGTCAGCGGATATCTTGTTCTAAAAGTCCTATCTATTCGGTAAGAACTTTTATTCGAAATGAGCAAATGGCAAAAATATATTATCTGCCTATAAGTTGTCGAGAAGTTTTTTTACGTTTACAATATTATTTGATGATAGAATAGTGTGAAACTAGATTTCTGAAAATAGATGCCTTGTGCAAATTAATATGATGGTCTAAAAGTGTTTAGATCATAACTCTAATTCATAGGTCATAATTAAGCAAATCTGACGTTGGCATGAATCAAACAGTAATTAGAATGAAGTCACTTTGATTTTATAATTGTATTTTAATGTGATAAAAATCTGTCTAGTTTAATCAATATCCACGTTCAATTTGTTCATTATTGTTTACAATGATATTGGTAGTTATATATTTGGTCTGTTATACAGTAAATGCCATCGTTTGTTTTAATAAATTAAACGCTATTTAAAACCTTCTAGATGTACTGTTACTTTTTTCCGTTATTGTCCGATCATGACAAGGAGCACACAGCGGGTGTGACCGGTCAGCAGGGGATGCTTACTCCTCCATGGTACCTGATCCCACCTCTGATTTTTCGGAGGTCCGTGTTTGCTCTGCTCCTATTTTGTATTGTTTTATGGACTTTGGTATTAAAAACTGTTCGTTAATTATCTTCATATCCTTCTTTTTCATGTCTATATGACATTAGCTAATGACTGAACAGAATGCAACAATTGTTAATCATTGCCATTTATGATATGTTTTAAGGCTAGAAGAAGAATGTAAAAAGAATCAGACATTCCATTAACTTCACCATTTTGGTTTTTGTTCTTCCGGATTGTGTTTTTGGACTTACAGATTTGGAAGTTTGATTGTTGATTATGAAATTATTGGCAATAAGAGTGAATCAGATGACTTTAAAAGCGACCTTGGATCTAGCATGTCAAAACTGCTAAGTGGAGACCAAACGCTCTTAGTATTGAGTCAAACACCAACTATCTTGAAAATCTTTATAAAAGATTTAAATGGCACAACTATGAAATGTAAGTTTGCCACTATTCTTTCTTCGTATATTTTGATGAAATAAATTAGACAAATTTTATTATTTGTGAATTAGGGCTTTATGAATTTTATAAATATAACAATACTCTCACTCTACATCAAGTATTCGATGAATATTTGATCACCTGACCGAATTCAGTTATTTTAAAACCGCCATTTCTATTGATTTTCTTTATAGACATTTCATCTGTGGACAAGCCCTGTTTCGTGTTTGAAAGTTTTGGTGGCACCTGTCTTTTGGGGGAAACATGTGACGACTCCTCCGGAGAAGCAACTTGTGTGTACGTATAACCTACATTAAATTATTTGAATTATGTCTATTATCAACCTCCAAAGTCTTGTAAACAATTGTCACGCTATAATTAAAATGGTCTCTCTTTTTACAGGAAAAATTCATCGAATGAAAGTAAGTCAGTTAAGAAACAAATAACAAAGAACTCTTTATATTCAAGA